AAATGCTCAATTCCTATCCAGAAAAGCAAAGAGGATGGACATCAGAAGGAGAAAAGAGGGAACAAGTCATGAGCTTGACACAGAGGACCTCTGAAAGGCTCTGCCCTGCACACTATCAATGCAGATGCTGAGACTTATGGGCAACCTTTGGGCAGAGTGCATGGAATTTTAGGAAAGAAGTGGGAAATAGTAAGATCTGGAGATGACAGGAACTCCACGAGAGCAACAGAACCAAAAAAATCTGAGCACAGGGGTCTTTCCTGAGACTGATACTCCAACCAAGAACCATGCATGGAGATAACCTAAGACCCCTGCACAGATGTAGCCCATGGCAGTTCAGTATCCAAGTGGGTTCCATTGTAATATGAACAGGGACTGTCTCTGACATGAACTGATTGGCCTGCTCTTTAATTACCTTCCCCTGAGGGGGAAGCAGCATTACCAGGCCACAGAAGAAGGCAATGCAGCCACTCCTGATGAGACCTAATTGACTAGGATCAGAAGGAAGAAAAGAAGACCTCCCCTATCAGTTTACTTGGGGAGGGGCATGCATTAAGAGGGTGGAGGAAGGGAGGGATTGGACCGGGAGGAGGGAGGAAACCACAGGGGAGGATACAAAGTGAATAAAGTGTAATTAATAAAGAATTTTAAAAATTATATTTTATGTCATAATGCTTTCTATATGGCTACTTGAACTTTTATTATTTTATGTGTATCTTCTAATCCTTTTATTACTTTAGATAAATATCAGAATTTTAATCCTAAAACAAATGATCAGTGCCAGATTATTCTGGCCTTGGACAACTTAGCTGACATTTTGAGGCTTTTTGTTACAGTAATGAACACCAACTAACTTCCTTAATAAAATAAATTTGAAAAAAAGACTTAATCTTTGATGCATCATTTTAGTATGTGAGGCTCAATGGGAGATTTTAAAACACTTTGTTAAAATAACAATTGTTTTTTAAATAGGAGAACATAAATTACTATTAGGAAAATTCCAATTAAAAACACAAGAAATGATTATTATTCCCTATTCCAAATAACTACCATATAAACAAATAAGTAAATAAATGCAATGGAGACCTCAAATGCCAATAACATTGCTGAGTAGCTTTCATTAAAATAGGTTATGGCAATGTACAATGAAACAGAAACTTTGATTTAAAAAAAAAATCACTGTCTTGTTACTTTTTTCCTCCTATATCCAATGTCCATCCCATTTGTCTTTCTAAGTGAGGATTGGTCATCTTACTCTGGGTCCTCTTTCCTGTTTATCTTCTTTAGGTGTATAGATTTCATTATGTTTATCATTTCTTATAAGTCTAAGTAAACGAGTATATACCATGTGTGTCATTCTCCTTCTGGGATACCTCACTCATAATGAGGTATAATGAGATCTGGGATACCTCACTCATAATGTGATCTTTTCTAGATCCTACCATTTGCCTGACAATTTCATGATTTCCTTGTTTTTAATTACTGAGTAATATTCCATATTACTTTCAGAGCCTCTGAAAGACTCTACCTAGCACTGTATCAAAGCAGATACTGAGACTCATAACCAAACCTTCAGCAGAGGGCAGGGAATAATATGAAAGAAGGGGGAGTTAATATGACATGGAGAGGACAGGAGCTCCACAAGTACCAAATATATCTGGGCAAAGGGGTCTTATATGAGACTGTTTCTCCAACAAAGGACCATGGATGGATATAACCAGGAACTTCTGCTGGGATATAGCCTGTGGTAGCTCAGTAACCAGTGGGTTACCGTATTAAGGGGAATTGGGACTATTTTTGACATAAACTCAATGGCAGGCTCTTTGACCTTCCCACCCACCAAGAGAGGAGCAGCCATGCTAGGCCACAAAGGGGAACTTTGCAGCAAGTCCTGAAGAAACCTGATAAAACAGGATCAGATGAAAGGGAAGGAGGTCCTCCACTATCAGTGGACTTGGAAAGGGGCAGGGAGGAGATGAGGGAGGTTGGGATTGGGAGGGAATGAGGGAGTGGGATACAGCTGGGATATAGAGTTAATAAAATGTAACTAATAATAAAAATAAATTGAAAAAGAAAAGATCACTGAACATTTCTTATAAAACTAAACAGTTGCCATGTAAATTGGTGATTGGACTTTGGGACATTACTCAGCTAATGAAACACTGATAAAACAAAGCAAACAAACTGTGTACCAAACAATGGTCATTGTATCTTAGTAAAAACTGGATTGAGGCAGATAAAGCTGCAGTAGATAAATGGTTGGAAAAAAAATGGGGCACATGTTTCACTATGTAATAAAAATCAGCAAGTGTTTCTTTGTGGTGAAAAAAAAAAAAAAAACACTTGAATGAAGAAGAATGCAAAATAGCCAAGACATTAGGAGTAGGGTTGAAAATTAAAACCTTGTAGAACTTCCAATTTGTTATCTCAGTTTCATGGCAGAGCTTTGATGTGTTCTAAGCTCCCTTCCACTACCACTGTCTTGCAGCCGCATATCCCTGTCATGACGGATTGTTATCTTTTGGAACTCTGAGCACAAATAAACTGTTTCATCTATAAATTTCCTTAGTCATGGTATTTTATCACAACAACAGAAAAGTAACTAACACAGAATAACAATGAATTGCAATCATCCCTAATGACTGAGGAGTTGTTCCTGAAGTCTGTGGGAATAGACAGGAAGGGGAAAAATGGGATTTTCATTATGGTTCATTATGAATCAGCATAGAAGTGTATGAGCCCAGAGAAGTGATTAAATTATAAATAACAGTGCGCAAACACTTCTTTAAAAAATAAAGACATTAATATCTTCGGAATTTGTCATTGTTACTGGCTGTTACAATTTACTTTTGTAAAACGCTGTCCCCTAAGGAACTTAGGCACATTGCTTTTACATACATGTGTATGGAACTGTATCAAAACATGATTTTACATGAAGCTTAACAGATAATATGTCATAAACAATATGTATAACTACTTGCAAATATATGCATAGATGCAAATAAAATTATTTTTAATTATAGATAAAAAGAGGCAAGGGGTAGAGCTTAATAATAATCAAAGAAAAAGAGGCTATCAACTGGACAGTGTGGGAGAGGCACATGAGAGGGGCTCCAGAGAAAGCAGTGAGAAAGCCTTAAGGGAAAACAAGGATGGGATAAAGTAATGTAATTCTATTTCAGTTCTTATTAATAAATTTTTTAAATGTCTTTATTATTAATAGCATAAGCAAATTTTGTTTATGTAACAAAATAAAGTAACAAAAACATTGGAACCCTAAAACTATTTTTGCATATTTTTATATAGAAACTACATAAGGAAGATTTAAATAGTAAGTTGTCTTCGGTGAGGTATATGTCATAAATGTTAAATGGCCTTTATGTTAGCACTCTTAGTACTCAGACTGATGACTCTGTAGTACCTAAAATCTACCATTTAATAAAAATGAAGAATGGTGTATTGAACTCCTAGAGAAAAACTAGTAGATGAATATGTCACCACTATAATCATAATTTAGATTGTTAACCACTGTAGTTACACAACATTTAATCCTATTTTGATAATATATGTATACTTCATATAGTTTTATGCTATGTGTAGCTTAATATATTATAAATGTATATATGGTTTTATATACTTTGTTCCCAGAATTTTTAGTATACTGCAGTGTTCAAGACTAAAAGAATATACATAAAACCAAAACTATTTGCAATAGGTAGGTTCCATAACATACGTTTTATAACAAATTCATTTTAAGATTAAAGTATTATTAATTTTTTCATTTTCTATGTTTTTTTCTGCTTGTATAAGTTGACACTGTTTTCTGTGAAAACTAAGTACTTAGAATACAATTTCTTTATTTTTAATTAAACTCAAACCATGCAATATTCTTTGCATAGAAAAGAAATAGGTACTTTTTACCAATGGCATCTTCTTCTCTGTAATATTTAGTAGGGTAGCACTGGGGAACCTACTCATCACTTAATAAAAATTATTTATGTAAATCAACTATAGGGGATTTTGAGGAGAACTGATTTTCTTTCCTACAGAGTCATGTCATATGAGTTTTATAAAATTGTATTTTAATAAGTGTTCTAATAATTGTAACATTAATCCAATAACTACACTCTCGTATTCTGTTTTTTTTTCTTTTTAACTGTGAGTTTTAGTTTTCATTGCAAAGTGAGCGTTTTCTTTTTCATTGTGGAGTTGGGTGACGCACACGTACACATCCAGGTGCGTACGTGTGCACACACATACATCCAGGCACACACACACACACACACACACACACACACACACACACACACACGACATTTAATAACCTTCATGTATGTTACTTCCTAAATAGAAAACTAGTAGTACCAGCTCCTTTGTGTGTAAACAAAGCATATTTTTGTTCTTTTACTTAGCTTCTACCTGTTTGCTTTGGGACAAGTGATCTAAAATCTCCTGTTGAAGCCTGAGGTTGTGTTTTATGAAATTAAACAAGAAGTGGGCACCAAAGAGCATTTCAGAACCATTTCCAGATTCCCTGTGCCAAGATTCTGACACAGATTTAATTTTTACTTTAGGAAATCAGATTGGGTCCTGAAAGCACCATTTCCTTGTCAACTTCGATGCTAAAGAAAGCTCCCAGTAGAATTTTCCTAGAAAGACTAAAGTAGCATAGTTCAATAAAACAAGTAAAAAGTAAATGGCAATAATTCAATGAAGTGTGGCACCTGGGGAAACGAAGTCTTTAAAAGCACCGTTTAAGCATTTCTTAAGATGCTTGATGGAGCAGCTCCCGATGGACCAAAGCAAGGAGACGAGACACGCAGCATTAACCTGCAGACCTACCATTATAGCATGGCAGAGGCCTCCTACCTGAAGGGGTCAGGCCTGGAGAAAGAAAAGGGAGGAAAGCTGACAGAGCGCCCCGGGAGCCTATCGATCCACGGACTCTCTTCTGGTAACCATTACAGAGACAAGGGTTGACAGTAATTAAAATGACTTACACACTGGTGTGGTTTCAAACTCAAATCTTCGACTGAAGACACCGTAGCCTGCTGCTGTACGTGCTCGAATTTGGAAGACATACACAGACGCAGGTTTCAGGCCCTCTGCAGTGATAGCGGTCTCTTTAGACTTGATGATTGTGTAGCTGGATTCTTGGTCCTTGAATTGCACATGTAACACAGGGGGAAAAAAAAATCAGTCCTTAATATATAAAACACCAAAAGCAAAAAGGAAACCTCATAAACTGGACTAGAAATCAATGACTTTCTATTATACAGACATTGAAAGCAAAACCAAAGACCTATCTGCTACCCCTGAAGCAGTTTTGTTGCTCTCAAATGTTTCCAGAACTTAAATCTTTTAATATCTTGCTGGTCTTTCCGAAATTAAAGTTCCCAGGACCCACAGGATGGCTCAGCGCCACCTGCAACTCTAGTTTCAAGGGAGTCCAAGGCTTTTGTCTTAAGTCTGCAGGATCCTGTAGTCCCATGATACACATATGTACATATATACATAAACACAGAGAGAGAGAAATAAATTTTTAAAAACATTGCAGGAGACTGCAATTTTACTCAGCAGACTGCAATTTTCTGACGATGTTCTTGCTTCTGTAGAAATGTCTTTTCGCAATATGCCTAATCTATTTTCTAGTCCTACAGAATGCTGAAATTATCTCTTGAATATTCGGGTTACATGTAAGCGTTAAGTCTTCTACGAATTTGATTTTTAATTATATTTAAAGTTTGGGAGTTGAAATAAGTACTTCGAGAAAACTTCAATTTTGACTGATTTTATCTAAACAGGAAGTGGTAAATAAATTGTAAGAATAAATGACTTATTTATTTATTTTTTTTTTCATTTTATAGAAGGCCCTGTTGTAAGCAAAACTAGTAAATTGGTGGACAGAAATAGAACAAAAACGAAATGGCTCCCCACTAAGCCTATGGCCTCTCTGTGTCTAAGGATAAAGGGAAGCAGTTACCGTAACACTCTAATCGCAGGCAGACTCACTTTTACTCCAATTTTTACTTTGGAATACGACCTGTTGCCTGAGTGTCCTCAATAGAATGTTGTAAGAATGAAGCAAGTAACGTGTATGACTCCACCTTACAGACTACTATACATAGTCTAATGGATGCTCAACTCACCCTAATTCCACACAACCAAGGCATAATGACTCTGTATCACCACCTAGACTACAGAGAGCATAAACCTCTAAGCAAACTTCTTTCGAAGCAGTTTTCTAGTCCTTATTTATATTCTTCAACATATCAAGTCGCCAACTATCTAGTTATATTCAAATTCATCGCTAAATTGGGGCTGTCCAATTTCTAAATGAAATTGGTTTTGTGATTCATTCTGGACTGGTGTTGATTTTTAGCTTCTAATGCAGAGATTAAGTGCTTAATCTGTATCGAGGAAATTTGACTACTAATTTTTAAGAGAGTTAAAGTACATAATTAAAAGCCAGAAGATGAATACCAATTTCTTTATTCATAAGCTCTTCAACTATCTATTGTGTTGGTGCTAGGAGAACAGCAAATAAAAGCTTTTCATTTCTTCACATGTTCTTAAATACTGTAAACAGCTTTTCATAATCTATTATAGTTACAGAGAATAGAGAGGATGCTCGTTTATGACTGAATAAATCCGATTATATTATTCACTACTTTTCAGTTTTGAGCCTAAATACTACCAGTTCTCAGTAATAAACTTTCCAGTTTGGCAACGATTGCAGCAATAGCTTTCAGTAGAAAATGATTAAGTTTGCTAATATTATTTTCATCTCTATGAAGGAAGTTTAACTTCATGAAGAGCAATCTACTAAAAACTACTGCTACATTAAGATATATATGCTACAACTTTTGAAAATAATAAAGTTTTTTAATATAAAAGAGGGAGGACCTTTTAAAAGCACAAGAATATTGACATTTGAATTCAAGATATCTGACTAACATGCATCTATAGGACTCCAGACATCAGATTGTTCTTTGAAATGGAAATGAAAGTCTATCAGTACAAGTGAGAGCAAAACCATAGCACAACAAATGGTTAAACTTGATTACCCAAAAGCTTCTAAGGGTGAAAATAATGAAGAGCAACAATAAAATGCATTCTTTAAATACATTTTATTTTTCTTGTTACCAAAATAATTTTGAAGTCATTATACAAAAACTGAAAGGCTATTTGAAATAATGTGTGACCCAGCATCAATTTCATAAAAGACAGCATTGTTTGAATTTATGATTAACATCTTAGTTGCTCTATACCTATCATCTGATTGCCCTTTGTGCTGCAGAGTTAGCTCAATACTATAGTTTAAAAAATAATTTAGGGAAGACAGTACTCAAGTGATTAAAACCTATTATTACACACTGTGAATAATCTCAGTATTTTACAAAATGTATTTCACTCTTTAAATCATTGTGAGAGGTTAATTTCCATCTTCCCACAAACTCTATGTATACCTCTTCAACAACCACAGGCACCTTGTGCCAACTCATTGGTCAGGGTAAGGGTGTTCACTGCATTGGTGCCCCAGCTGAGCAAATGAGCTACATTCCCCAGCTGCTCCATGAACACTGCTCACATGTAGGGAGGGGAGGGCACAGCAGAGGAAGCCAGCTGGCAAATAGCCTGTCAAAGGCAGCTTCCTTTTCTTCTGCCTTTAATTAAGAGATGGCAAGAGGCCCATCACCAGGCCGGAGCATAGGAGTCCAATGACCTCCATTAGAGCAGGGCATTGGTGTGTAGATGTGCCAGCTGGCAAGTGTGTGTGTCCTCGAAGGCTGTGCCACCTGTGGCTGGCCAAAAGCCATCCAATAAAAGAGTGGTGTCACTCAGAAGTTTCCAAATGAGCTCTGAAAATCTACCAAAAGCCCCACCTCAGCATGGTTTAAAGGCTCATTATCTTTTTCCTTCTAGAAGTATTAGGAAAATCTTGATGTGCACATGAGAATATTTAATAATTTGACTTGATAAAAGTTCAAGGACTTAATAACATTAACAAAAAATTTATAACTTCAACCAGTCTACATATTGTTACTTTAAAATGTGTTCAAAGACAACTTATTATTAGTGGATTTTACCCTTATCATATAGAAACCGTCTTCCCAAAATAAATGTGTTTGTGTGTGTGTGTGTGTGTGTGTGCGCGCGCGCGCAAGCACGTATCTATGCACCCTTGCATGCTGATGTGTGTACATGCATACACAGGGTCTCATTTACACTTATGCACGTGTGATTGAAAACCAGAGGGCAACGCTCAGTAGCATGGTCACAAATACCATTTACCTGTACTGAGATACTCTCTCATTGACTTCAAGAACAAAATTAGCTAATCAAGATTGCCAACCAGAAAGGCCCAGTGGTCCTCCTGGATCTACCTCCAGAGCACTTGGATAACAAGTATGCATGAGCACATCTGAAATGTTTACATGGGTTCTAGGTTTCAAAGTCAGGCATTCACACATTTTCAGAAAGTACTTTTCCAACTGAGATTTCCCCAGCTTGTAAATCATTTTCCTTACTCTCCGTTGTAGAGACAAGAAAACATAAAAATATACCATTAAATGCAAACTATTGAAGAAGAGATCATTTTGGACTCAGATAACTGAAAAGAAATTCCCTTTTGAAGAAAATCGTTCCAGAACATGGATGGAGTTCATAAGGAATAGCAGCAGAAACTACCACTTTCCAAGACACAGTTTAGGTTTGTGTTCTAACAGAAGCCACAGCTTAAAGAATGAACGAGACAGACATTCTTGGTCATACTGAATCAAGCACGTAAGTAAAGTCAAGGTTACTAACCAGAGATTAGTAGGGAAGGGATTCTAGAGGTAAAAGTATGTATACTGTTAATTGGTCTACATAATTGATTGAACAAAGAAAAAAGAATGGAATCACACAAGTGTTCAGGGTTTGTGCTGATAAATTGTATTTCAGCTAAGATAATGAAATATAAGTATCTCCATAGTTTTTTTTTTCTGTAAACTTATAATTTTTCCATTTTTACATGTTAAAATCCATTTTAATCCATATAATGATGGAAATATAAACTGCTTATAATCAAGGTTAGCATGTGTTTCCTGATGTGATTATTTAATTCTGTGCAACTTTGCATTGTGTAGATTAGTAACTGTTAGAAACACAAATTGGAAATCGTTGAGGTTGGCCTAATGCTAATACTGGTCCGGAAGATCTGGTTACTGTCTGCTGGATACAGGCATCTTGGTTTGTGTAAACCTGTCTAAGGCTTACCTGACTGGTTAATTAAACAGCCTATACCTGGGAAGGGCAGAATGGGATAGGCTGGCTAGGATTCACCGGCTTTTAAGGGGAATCATGGGAAACCAACGGATGAGAGGAGAGGAAGAAGGATGCCGAGACGCATTAGCATGGAGAGGAAACCACGTGGGGCTGGGAGGAAGGACTCCAATAATGGCGTGAAAAGGTCCAGAGGAAGAGTAAAAGCAAGTATTTATAAGATTATGCATGGAAGATAGAATGGTTAAGGAGGATGGCATTCAATGGGGATTGGGAGATGGGTGGTGGGTTGATTCAGACGTTGTAGGTAGAAATACCTGCCCTGCCCAAGGTAAATAAAGCAATTATAAAATTTAACAGGTGTCTGTGTCTTATTTGTGATAGTGGGTTAGATGATATTACCGTGATAATCATAAGGCAAATAATAATAAACATTATATAGCCAAATAGCAATTTATTAATTTACAACAATAGACAATGCAATTTAATTTATAAATTACTACACATAGAATGTATTTATATTGCAAATGCCTGGAATGCAGATACAGTTTCTGATTACTAATCTCAGAGGTGTGGGAATCAGTGAGGCCACTACATTTTGGCACATTCACTACAACTTTGTTGACAAAATTTATTTTGTACTGGAAAATAATTTCATCTCAAAAGTGTTCTCTTCATGTACTTAAGTTCATTTAAAGTTACTAAAACTACATATTGTTTTTGTTTTGTTTTGTTTTGTTTTTTACTGTGGAGATCAAGGAAACAGAAAGGACAGTGGAAGAGGAGAACAATAAAAAGAAATTATAATGGAACATGAATGAAATTGGCATGATTAAATCACCTTGACTACATTGTCTGGTAACCTAGCAGATTACTTTACCCAACAAAACAAACAGATAAAAAACCTATAGCTTTTGCAAAAAGATATTTAAGTTATTATCATTCATGTTCTGTATGATCCAATTATTTATATTTGACAGTATGACAATCCTTTAAGATTATTGAAGGATCATCACTGTAGAGGTTAAAAACCTAGATGTAATACACAGATAGCTTTCGACCATTGAGGTCCCACATGCTTAATCATGGAATCAATAATCAAAATAAGGCATTTCTAAATCCTTACAAATTATGGAAATTATTAATACCTCATTTTCTTAGACTCTTATTTTCTATGCATGCACAATGAGACTTAAATTTGTAAGCAATATTCATTTGGTGATATGTGCATTTCACATGGTTAGGAAAAGATCCATCTTCTTTCTGTTTTTTTTCCCCTCCCTATGTTGGGAAGATTCTCTGGAATCAAAAAGGAAGGTTTTGTGCTTCCTTCTACCTATATTCTTCTTCCTTAAAAGTGGTGTGTATGCTGTCCCTACTAAGCACAGCTCACTCTTTCAAATCCACTGGGTTTGCTTATGTCTACCATGCTCTTGTTATTTATTTCTTCCACGTAGCAGAGATCCAGCACATTTGAGCCAAGGTTTCAACTTTCCCCTTTGAAACATGTAATTTCTTGAACTCTTTGTTTGGACTCAGATTATTGTAAAGATGTGCTGTTTGGGGGAAGTGAAAAGACAAACTGTGTCTTCATTATTTCAGCCACATATGTTACTATAGCAGTAGAAATTCTAAACTTACACTGAGCTTCCAAAAATTTGATTCTGCTTTAAGTAGCTTTCTCGGTTATAGAGTCAAAACAAAGTAAGAAGATGCTTTCCTCCTTTAGATAACAAGTGTGTGTGTGTGTGTGTGTGTGTGTGTGTGTGTGTGTGTGTGTGTGT